CAGTATCTCTCCCATAGTTTGTAGACGCTATAACTTTCACACAAAGCAATCAATATACACTTATTGGGATTTTTTTTTACCAAAAACATGGAGCAGAATACATTTTGGCCTAAATTTATAACCAACTTTGAGTTTACTATATATTTTTTTATAGCTGAAAGTAAAAAATATTGTTTTTCTTCAAAATTTTTGGCCTTTTTCTGTTTATAGCATGAAAAATAAAAAGCGCACTGGTGATCAAATACCACCGAAAGAAAGCTCTATTTGTGTGAAAAAAAAGGACATAAATTTCATTTGGGTGCAGCATTGCATGACCGCGCAATTATCAGTTGAATTAGTGCAGCGCCGAGTAGCAAAAAGAGGCGTGGTCATTAAGGGGGGTAAATCCTCAGGAGGGCAAGTGGTTAATGTGTGTTAGTCTTTTTGTGAAAGAAAGAGATAGTCGATTCTGGAATAACGCTTGTGGGGTGCGGAGAAGAAAGTGTAGTCTTTGTCAGAGGGGTGTAGAGTACGCCATGTATCATGGAGAAGAAGTTCGTTCAGTTCAATTTTCCTCTGTTTAAGTGCTCGGAAGGGTTTCCATGAAGAGCCTGTCGAAGTGTCTTCCAACGGATTCAGTGCTACATTAAAATCGCCCCCAAGAATCAGGATAACCAATTGAAATGTTGCAAGTGTATTAATAACTTTACGGAAAAAGCTCACTTGTGCCGTATTGGGGCTGTAAATGTTGGCGGTTTGTTGTAGAGGGTGCCTTTAAGGAAGAGGAACCTTCCCTCCGGGTCCTCGAGAGACTCAGTAATTGTGGGCGGGAGTGATTTGGAGATCAAAATGGACACACCTTTTGCTTTCACCTCTGTATTAACTGAATGGTAGACTGTTGGGTAATTAGCATTGGAAAATTTAGGGATATGATCAGCATGAAAGTGGGTTTCTTGGATGAAGAGCACATCTGCTCGTAAGCTTTTCATGTAAGTCAAGAGTTGTGAACTTTTCTCAGGTATATTTAGACCTCTTGCATTAAGAGATGCCACAGAAAGTGTATGGTGGGCTCGTACGGATGTGGGTTTAGTAGACATTGTCTGGATCAGGGGTGGACTGACAACTCATGGGGCCCCCAGGCAATAGGGGATCATGGGGCCCCTGTGTACTTGCCCAAACTCAAAAAAGCCTATGAAAAAGGTACCAGGGGCATCTCATGGGGCCCCCTACTGACCCCAGGCCCTCGGGCAGTGCCCGAGTTTCCAAATGGTCAGTCCGCCCCTGGTCTGGATGGCAAAAAAAAGTACTACTCAAGGTCTATAACGTGCAGCAAAAGAGTGAGAGACAAAGGAGGGGGCAAACGAGAGAAAGAGGGAGGGAGAGAGGAAAAAAAAAATCCAAACAGCCCCCCCAGAGGGCAGAGAAAATGAAAAGTAGAAATAGGAGTGGAAAAAAATTGAGAGAGTCAAGAAATCAAAAAATTATAGAGGTGAAAAGTGTTAGGCGTCTACAATAAAAACCCACACATGTGTTGTGTGGTCCTAAAACTTCTCTTACGAAACAAAATCCGGAGACAGTGTAGTCCAGCTACGCCGTCCTGTATTGAGAATCGTACAGTGAGGAACAGAAGTATTTGAACCTCCTGCGATTCTGCAAGTTCTCCCACTTCTCCATCACGGAGAGGTCTGACATTCACATTGTAGGTGCATTCCCACTCTGAGAGACAGAATTTAAGAAAAAATTCAGGAAATCCCATTGTATGATTTGTAAAGAATGCATTTGTCTCTCACTGCAGAACAGAAGTATTTGAACCCCTGAGAAGATCCGTGTTAATATTTGGTACAGAAGCCTTTGTCTGCAATTACAGAGGTCAGACGGTTCCTGTAGTTCCTGACCAGGTTTGCACTGCAACAGGGATTTTGGCCCATTCCTCCACACAGATCTCCTCTAGATCTGTCAGGTTTCGGGGCTGTCGCTGAGCAACACGGAGTTTCAGCTCCCTCCAAAGATGTTCTATTGGATTTAGGTGTGGAGACTGGCTAGGCCACTCCAGAACCTTGATATGCTTCTTACGGAGCCACTCCTTGGTTCTCCTGGCTGTGTGCTTCGGGTCGTTGTCATGTTGGAAGACCCAGCCACGACCCATCTTCAGTGCTCTGACTGAGGGAAGGAGGTTGTTGCTCAAAATCTCACAATAAATGGCCCCATTCATCCTCTCCTTAATACAGTGCAGTCGTCCTGTCCCCTTCGCAGAAAAGCACCCCCAAAGCATGATGTTACCACCCCCATGCTTCACAGTAGGGATGGTGTTCTTGGGATGCAACTCATCCTTCCTTTTCCTCCAAACACGGCGAGTGAAGTTTAGACCAAAAAGTTCTACTTTGGTCTCATTTGACTACATGACTTTCTCCCATGCCTCCTCTGGATCATCCAGATGGTCATTGGCAAACTTCAGACGGGCCTGGACATGTGATGACTTGAGCAGGGGAACCTTCCGTGCAATGCATGATTGGAAACCATGACGGCGTAGTGTTCTACCGACAGTGACCTTTGATACTGTGGTCCCAGCTCTCTTCATGTCATTGACCAGCTCCTCCCTTGTAGTTCTGGGCTGATTCCTCACCTTTCTTATCATCAGTGATCCCCCACGAGGTGACATCTTGCATGGAGCCCCAGTCCGAGGGAGACTGACAGTCGTCTTTTGCCTCTTCCATTATCTAACAATTGCTCCAACAGTTGATCTATTTTCACCAAGCTGCTTGGCAATTGCCCCGTAGCCCTTTCCAGCCTTGTGGAGGTCCACAATTTTGTCTCTGGTGTCTATTGACAGCTCTTTGGTCTTGCCCATGGTAGTAGTTGGCGTCTGACTGACTGTGGGGTGGACAGGTGTCTTTAAAGAGCTCAGACAGGTGCTACTAAGTTAGATGAATGAGTGGAGTAGAGAGGTGGACTTTTAAAGGCACAGTAACAGGTCTTTGAGAGCCAGAATTCTTGCTGTTTTTTAGGTGTTCAAATACTTCTGTTCAGCAGTGCGAGACAAATACATTCTTTACAAATCATACAATGGGATTTCCTGAATTGTTTTTTTTAAATTCTGTCTCTCAGAGTGGGAATGCACCTACAATGTGAATGTCAGACCCCTCCATGAAGTGGGAGAACTTGAAAACTTGCTTAACTGTAGGCCGCAGTCCCCTGGGTCCGGTGAGGGGGCCCGATGGTCCGGGTGGTGGGGGCCTGATGGTCGTACACCCTCTCCCACCATGGACCGCACTCACGTGTCCCTTGGCTGGGTGTGAGCCCGGCATCCACCGAGGCCTCACTAGGTCGCAACAGGCCGCGATGGTCCGCTGCCACGGAGAGGATTCAAAGCACTCGGTTCTCCTCCGTCAAGTACCAGCAGGGACGGTGGGACCTCCGGGGAGTTCTGTCAGTCCGCTGCCACCAGGATGGCAGTGGATTCGGTAGAGATGTGGCAGAGCTCCAGATTATGCGGCCGCCCCAGTCGCCATCTTGAACACGCCCCCCTTTTGTAGAATTTTTCGTGGCCATCCTTCCCCTTCAGCACACTCCTGAAGAAAGACTTTTGTTCTGAAATGCGTCTTTTCAGCTGAAGTTTACTCGCCCTTCGCTTTCTTCTGGCTTACAGGAGAGGGTGAACACCAGCCTTCAGCCTACGGTAAGTTTACAGGCCTTTTCTCCATTTCCTTCCATGTATGATTTTAACATTTGTGTAACGTGCCAAATTATGATGTTTCACAACAATTTTGTAATAAAACGATTTGCATGTTTATATAATTTGTCTTGAGTTGCCTTAAAAGTCCCAGTACAAATTGTCGGGGGACATATCTTTGGGTACATAGCCTTTGGGATGTTGGCAGCTAGAGAATGAACCCTGTGCTGGATCTACATACTTTAGTTATATTAGGGGCATTGAACTTGGATGGGGTTGGGGGGTGTATGGGATGCCCAAGGGAACCGCAACTGAGGACAACTCCTTGGCAACTATGTACAAGTCTCTACAGCAAACAGGGTTTTTTCCTGGAGAGCTCTCCAGCCTCTCCTGATGTACCACCCCAGATGAATCCTTTCCTCATCCAGCTGTACTGGGTCAATCTCTGGGCAAGGGTACCCAAAATCTGTCTTTGCAAAACCAACAGTCCCAGATGGGGACTATTCAGGTTTCCCACCCGAATGCCTTTTCCCCTTAACTGGCCCAGAGGATGTAGGACTACTCACTCTTCCTCTCCTATGAGCTTGTTGCATTGGTAGCTGCCTTCAGGCCTTCCACTGGGCTGGCTCCTTCCCTGCTGCACAGGTTGTCTTCTCTCAGGGGACTGCTGAGATTGAGAGATCCTCCTTTTAGTTTCAGCCTGGAGGTAGGCCTTCTCTCACTGGGCCCCCTCCCAGGCTCCTGCATCCCAGCCTCTCACTTTATCTCCCACCCAAACTCTCCTGCTGCTGAGCAGGCTCAGTCACACTTAAGGGCTGACCTGGCCCCATGCCAAGCCTCCTGCCTGGGTCAGTATCTCTTAAGTATGAGGATCAGCCCCTCCTCATCCCCACCCATTGCCTTCTAGAAACCTCTCAAGTCTCTAGAGCAGGGGGAGGTCTCAGGGAACTGATCTGCAGACCCATCAGCCCTGACCTAAATTGTCCTGGCTGACTCATGCCCAGGTTGCTACTCAGCCTTTCTTTCTGCAATTAAAACTAGCTCCACCTGCCTATCTAGAGGGGTGCAACGTATGTTTAAAATATAGTAATATGATGGACGCAAGGTGGTTCTCTTTTCTGGGAGGACGTCATATGACGTCCTCCCATTCTAACCACGCATGTGCGGCTCCTGGAGCGCGCAGCATGACGATCGGTAGTGCGCTGTGTTCCTTGGACACAGCGGATCACCGATCCACGGAAAGACCTGAAGATGTCGGCTCGGTCATGTGATCAGCTGTGTCCAATCACAGATGATCACATGTAAACAGGGAAATGCCGGTTATCGCATTTCTCTCCCCACGAGCTGTCACGCTGACAGAGGAGAGGAGAGCCGGTAATTGGCATCCCTCGGAGGGGACATGTTCACTGATCATCAGAGCACTGATGATCAGTGTGCCCTGATGATCTGTGTAGCCCCAGCAGTGCCACCTGTCAGTGTCCATCAGTGCCAGCTCTCAGTGCTCATCCATGCCACCTGCCAGTGCCCTTCAGTGCCACATCAATGCCACATATCAATGCCATCTGAGCGGCCTTTCAGTGTCACCCATCAGTGCCAGTCAGTGCCACCTACCAGTGTCATATATCAGTGCTGCCTTTCAGTGCCCTCAGTGATGCCTGTCAATGCCCATCAGTGCCACCTATCAGTGTCCATAACTGCAGCCTCATTAGCGTACATCAGTGAAGGAGAAAAATCACTTATTTACAAAATTGTATCACAAAAACAAAGAAAAAAAACATTTTTTTTTTTTCAAAATTTTCAGTGGTTTTTGGTTTGTTTAAGAAAAAAAAAAAAACCCCCCGAGGTGATTAAATACCACCAAAATAAAGCTCTATCTGTCACAAAAAAATTATAAACATTTCATATGGATCAAGTGTTGCATGACCGCACAATTGTCATTCAAAGTGTGATAGCGCTGAAAGCTGAAAATTGGCCTGGGCAGGAAGGGGGTATAGTGCCCGGTGGGCAGGAAGGGGGGGTATAAGTGCCCGGTAGGCGAGGGGTTAAAAAATGTTCTTTCTTTTATAGTCACGCCATCCCTCCTCAGAAGCAAACATGAGCATGCAATCTGGCAGCAAGGGGCGGACTGACAACTCATGGGGCCCCCGGCAATAGGGGATCATGGGGCCCCTGTGTCCTTGCCCAAAACTCAAAAAAGCCTATGAAAAAGGTACCAGGGGTATATCGTGGGGCCCCCTGCTGACCCTGGGCCCTCAGGCAGTGCCCGAGTTTCCAAATGGTCAGTCCCTTTTGCTGGCAGCCACAAAAAAAAAAGAAAAAAAAAAAAATCTGAGGCCTTAACCCCACCCTGCCTCTGTACAAAAATTTAGAACAAAAGGTTACTTGTCCCACCTTGTAGTGAGAGCTGAGATAGGAATGTATCTAATGTATTAAATGTTTTTTGCCGTGCAGAAAGGACCAGATTAGGACTTCTGATTCCAGGAGCTAAATAACGGCCCATTTATCTCCCTGCCTTCAGCTAATAACCAAATCTTCTATTTCTCCCATCAGTTTATTCCTCACAATTATTACCTTTTGTCCCACCAGCTCCTCTCTATTAGATTGTAAGCTCCCAGGAGCCAGGCCTTCCAAACCCCTCTTGTATTGACTTGTACCGTTGCTGTATTGTCTCCCTTTATATGAGCAAACTGTTGGAGCCATATACCCACATGGAAGACAAATATATATTTTTAAAAATACATTCTTAATATATTTTTCCCAAATATATCGACATATATTTCAAATACTACAATTTTGGTCCAATATATTCAATATATTTCAATATATTTGTGAATATATTATTAAAAATATATTCAGAACGTACACGCTGCAATATATATCAAAGTGTCATTTGGAATGCATTTACAAGTATATTTAAAAATCTATGTTTAAATGCATTTTTTTTAGATGTTCAAAAAATATCTGGAAAGTATATTTTGAAAAATATATTTTTAAATATATGCCTTTTGGAAAATATATTTTAATTTACATTTTTGGAATACATGTTAAAAATATATTTGCGTAGGCCAATGTATTGTAAATATATGTTGCATTTATAATTTGATTTTTTAAATATATTGAAAATATATTTCTCTTCCATATGGGTAAATCCTGTATATTATTATATTTAATAATGAATGTTAAAAATAGAAAGCAGCTTTATTTAGCCCTTTATATAAAATTCTGCCCTTTATTTTTTTTTTTTTTACAGGTGGATTGATGAACCAGGTTTTCCGTCACGTTTGTCTTCATAATACCAAATGAACCATATGGGTGTCTTAAGTGGCTGAAAGTCTTTACAGCAGTTCACTGAAGGATTCACACAGGACAGAAGACCTATCAGTGTTCTAAATGTTTTGGATCCTCTTCAACATTGATCAAACCTCTCAGACAACAAGAGAGAAAAAAAAAGAAAGTACAAAAAAAGGCCGGACTTTTACTGGTACTAAGGATCGGTCTATTCATCAATAAAAATATGTATTTTTATTACAAAATTTAAAACCAACATTCACAAAAAGAAAAACCTAACAAAACCCCACTCCGTAGTCGTCATACAATCATACATGGTTTGTTCGATTCAGTGTGGTTTCTTCGTGTCAGATCATCCGAAGAGGTCAACGCGTTTCGCTTATCAGGATTCTCAGTTGGATTTTTACAGGAAATTGACCTGACTACAGAAAATATATATTTAGACATTTTATTTATATCTAGTACCATATACTTTTAAAATTGAAATCATTTGGGATTGGCAACAATATACATGCTTTAAAAAAAAAAAAACAACAGGTGAGAAGTCATTTCAGTGTTCTACAAGTGACAATCAAGTCCAACCCTTGTATACGTAAGAGGGGCCATTTCAGAAGTGATTTCTTGTTTGGAATGTGACAAAGGTTTTTTTTTTTTTTTACAATGGAGGCCAAACATATCGCACACCACAAGGCACGTGATGGAGAGAAGCCGCATCGATGCTCTAAATGTGACAAAGGTTTCGCAGTGAGGAGACGCCTTATCAGACACATGAGAACTCACACTGGAGAGAAGCCATATCAGTGTTCAGAATGTGGCAAAGCTTTTCCAAATAAGTCAAATCTTATCATACACATGAGAACTCACACCGGAGAGAAGCCATATCAGTGTTCAGAATGTGACAAAGCTTTTACAATCACTGCACAACATCTTATCACTGGACACGAGAATGTGTTTTTGCAAGCAAATCCCTGATCACACACATGAGAACCGTAGAGAAGCCATATCAGTGTTCAGAATGTGACAAAGCTTTTACATCGAAGTCAAATCTTATCACACATGAGAACTCACACTCTTATCAGTGTTCAATGTGACAAAGCTTTTGCAGATCTTATCACACACAAGATGACTCACACCGCAGAGAAACCATATCAGTGTTTGGATTGTAGCAAAGCTTTTGCATCGAAGTCAAATCTTATCACACATCAGAGGATTCACACCGGAGAGAAGCCGTATGAGTGTTCCGAATGTGACAAAGTTTTTAATACCAAGAAAGAGCTTACCACGCACCAGAGGGTTCACACCGGAGAGAAGCCGTATCAGTGTTCCGAATGTGACAAAGCTTATAAAACATTGTCCCATCTTAACACACACAACATGGTTCACACCGGGCAGAGGCCATATCCGTGTTCTGAGTGTGACAAAGCTTTTAAAGAGAAGAGAGAGCTCATCTTGCACCAGATGCATCACACTGGAGAGAAGCCATATCAATGTTCTGAATGTGACAAAGCTTTTACAGACAAGAGAGGGCTTAACAGACACCAGAGGGGTCACACCGAAAACAAACCACATAAATGTTCTGAATGTGGCACTGGTTTTGCACAAAAGGCAGCACTTACCAAACACCAGAAGATTCACACCGGAGAGAAGCCACATCAGTGTTCTGAATGTGGCAAAGCTTTTAAAGAGAAGTCCGAACTTATCAAGCATGAGAGGGTCCACACAGGAGAGAAATCGTACATTTGCTCTGAATGTGGCAAAGGTTTTTCAGGGAAGTCAACTCTTATGAACACAAGAGGGTTCACACCGACGAAGAGAAACCACATAAATGTTCTGAATGTGGCATTGCTTTTGCACGAAAGGCAAGACTTACCAGACACCAGAAGATTCACACCGGAGAGAAGCCACATCAGTGTTCTGAATGTGACAAAGCTTTTGCAGACAACAGAGGGCTTAAAAGACACCAGAGGGGTCACACCGAAGACAAACCACATAAATTTTCTGAATGTGGCAAAGCTTTTGCATGAAAGGAGATACTTACCAGACACCAGAAGATTCACACCGGAGAGAAGCCACATCAGTGTTCTGAATGTGGCAAAACTTTTAAAGAGAAGTCAGAACTTCTCGTACATGAGAGAGTCCACACAGGAGAGAAACCGTATCTTTGCTCTGAAAGTGGCAAAGGTTTTTCAGGGAAGTCAACTCTTAATGAACACAAGTGGGTCAACACCGGAGAGAAACCACATCTGTGCTCTGAATGCGATTAAAGCTTTCACACAGATGCAGTATCTTATCATACGCCAAGCGGTTCACACCGGAGAGAGAAGTCCTATCAGTGTTCTGAGTGTGGATGAAGCTTTTACAGTTAATTCTGAGCTAATCGAACACCAGAGGATTCACAAGAAACTGTGGAAGAAGGGAAGGGGGGGTGTGTGAAAGAGGTAGCAACTGAGCCGTAATGAAAGTTTTGCTGGTATCTCATTAGTTTTACATTTCATGTCATCTCACAAGCTCATAAAAAAAAAAAAAAGTATAATGCTACTTTGAAGAACAAACTAAAATCTGTGAGCAAAAAGGAATGTAATGAATGGAGCATGGAGTTTAGTGCTTATCTCCATCAGGCACAGATCTAGAAAGTCCTCGACTATTTTACCTTTTTTTTTTAATCAGAAATGGAAAAAGCGCCTCTGAGTGGAATACCATCCATGTATTTATTAAAAACAATGTAGGCTCACAAATGGCAACTTACGTGCTCTGGAAGAGTAAAGGGCACAAAATAAAGTCCGTGCGAGGTCCTGAATGGTGGAGTAGTCTGGCCAGGGATCACTTCGGAATGGCAGGAGATGGATCTCAAGCAGCCGCTCAGTGGAGAAGAGAAGGCCGGTAGCGTTGGAGGCTTGTGGAGCTAAGCATGGAGCCAAGCATGGACCAGAGGTTTGCCGAGAGCCGGAAGTGACGCAACACGTCTCAGAGCAGCGACATATTTACAATGAGGCAAACAAGGCGTTTGCCTAGGGCAAATGAAACACAAATGATGCAGCGCTACTACCATAAAAATTCTTCACACATAAATGAATAAGTGAAACAGTGCAAAATTAGTGACACAAATAACATAAACACACAATATTAAATAGTGCCAAAAACCTCATAAATAATCATGTGTGACAAGTGTCAATACGAGGTCCCAAAAAGACCAAATAGCACAAATGGTGCCCCAAGTAATCCAATAGGATCCAATAGTGCTCCAAATCGCAAGAGGGAGGTGAGCGAGCAATTCAGCCATTTTTGGATATCTCTGCACATTTATCAGCACAATTATAATTTTTTTTTTTCTTCTTCAAGAATTGCTGTGGACTTTATATATGTTTTTTGTATATTGTCAGGTGTTTTACACCTCACGGGACGTTATATA